CGCAACGTGACGTCATGCGCGCTGGGCGGCTCGATGACGTCATGTCTCCTCGAGTACTTAAGGGGGACCCAGTGACGAAAGCGGGGTCACTGTGGGAACGGGTAAGAGTAGAAGAGTGAAGAGGGAACCAGCGGTCGAGGAATCGAGTAGTGAGTCTGGAGAGAAGCCGGTGGTAGCTGATAGAGGTGCTTCTCTTTCCAGTCGGTGGAGTTGGCAGAGTCCCCGATCGGACACGAGAGAGACCGGAGCTAGCCGGGCAGGGACCAGGACTCAGTGTAGGACCCCTAACCCCTGGGAGTTGTTACACCCTTGTGCTATTTGGAATATCTTTAATAAACCTTTGGCGAAAGCTCTTAACCTTCAAGCCATCTCCGAGTCATCGTCGACTAGTTCTCAGCACATGCAACAATCCATCTCGCTCCTGCATTGGAGTTGAACTTATCGCTCCGTCTCTAGCGGCGGACGTCCTCTTCTCAGTCGTATTTCCACTCCTTTGTCTGCCACTCTGTTGTTAGTCTCGACCACCGGCCTATCATCCCTTACCTCTGATAACACTTTGAATGATGTCATTGACCGGTGTATGTTCTGTAATGCACGTATTCCTCTTTCTGTGTCTCGGTAATAATTCCAAGTGCGCACCTCTGCACGCTTCTATGCACACTTTTCAGCTCACGTTCCATTTTCTTTGTCCGTATTTCTCAACCCATTCAGCCCATAATCCCCCATGTGGTCAATACAATAGGCCCCACTTCGTGGGGAACTTACCAGTGGTTGCCCTGAGAGTCGACTGGCCCCCACCATAGGAATATGGAATTTCCACCACTGGCTCGCGGCTGCAAACAGGAGCCGAGCACCGCGTCAATAGCCATTTGAGCAGGGAATCACTTTGACTTGACTGATCACACGTCACAGGAGGTAATAGGCACTTGTTAAAAAAAAAAGTTACTTTGCCACATTGGCATGTTGCTGTTCGTTATTAAGTTGTACTCACCACGTGGTTGAGTACAACCACGTGGTGAGTACAACTTAATAATAACGAACAGGGCGTCATGTGTTGTTTTGTTCTTTGGCAACGTCACGAACTCATCACACGCCGCACCACGCCGCAAACACGACGCAGCCCGTGGACCAACCAACGGCAGCTGAGGGGGGACACTGTGACGGTGTGGCTCGTGGGAACATATCTCCTTACCATACGAGCGCGTCATGAATTAACGAGACGAGAGTGAGGGGTGGGGGGGCGCGGGGGAGCTTGAGGTGGGGGTGTGGGGGGGGGTCAAGGCTAAATTTAGTGAGGCACTGGTCGCGTGCACTTGAAGCACAACCGACCGTGCGGCACGTTACGTGGCCACGTCCCTCAAAAAATGTGCTTACCGCTGCGTCGGTGACCAGCCACGTGGAAAGAGGAAGAATGGAGCAAAGTTGTTGTCCTCGTGTCTATGTGTGTGTGTTGTTTTTCGTCCGTGGTTAATTAGAACAAATATTTTAAAAACTTTCTTTTACCAGGTAAGCGCCATTGAGCTACACAGCTCTTTTTCAGAAGCGACCTGGCCACAAATTATATCCCAACGAAGTGGCTTATCGCGTGATAAGCCAAATATTCTAAACACACGTCGATTCTCTAAATGTGGAGGGAAAACCGGAGAAAATATAAATTCCGTCAGTCCATACCAATGTAAGAGACAAAGCCAGAGAGACAGACACATGCAGCCGAAGACATCCGCAGAGAGACAAAGATGCCCCGTATAGCCTGTAACAGACTGTTGGGGCAAGTGCTGTTAGCGAGCACCTATGATGGCCAGCACGGCACGTGTGTTACACGTGTGTCTGTGCACACTCGTGTCATCTCAGTCGACCCGTGGCACCTGGGTCTGCCCCGTGACCTCCTGCCAGCGGGCGTTCGACACTTCACGTGGCCTCAAGGTGCACATGGCCTGGCACAAGCGTCGTGGTGACGTCACCGCCACTTAGTGGCGAATGGCGGTTGTTGTTGTTACATGTGTGTGTGCTCACACTCGTGTGTTACACGTGTGTCTGTGCAACACTCGTGTGTTACACGTGTGTCTGTGCAACACTCGTGTGTTACTGGTGTGTCTGTGCACACACTCGTGTGTTACTCGTGTGTCTGCGCACACACTCGTGTGTTACACGTGTGTCTGTGCAACACTCGTGTTACACGTGTGTCTGTGCACACACTCGTGTGTTACTCGTGTGTCTGTGCACACACTCGTGTGTTACTCTTGTGTCTGCGCACACACACTCGTGTTACACGTGTGTGTGCACACACTCACTCGTGTTACATGTGTGTGTGCACACACTCGTGTGTTACACGTGTGTCTGTGCACACACTCGTGTGTTACACGTGTGTCTGTGCACACACTCGTGTGTTACTCGTGTGTCTGTGCACACACTCGTGTGTTACAAGTGTGTCTGTGCACACACTCGTGTGTTACACGTGTGTCTGTGCACACACTCGTGTGTTACACGTGTCTGTGCACACACTCGTGTGTTACTCGTGTGTCTGCGCACACACACTCGTGTGTTACACGTGTGTCTGTGCACACACTCGTGTGTTACACGTGTGTCTGCACACACTCGTGTGTTATAAGTGTGTCTGTGCACACACTCGTGTGTTACTCGTGTGTCTGCGCACACACACTCGTGTTACACGTGTGTGTGTGCACACACTCGTGTGTTACACGTGTGTCTGTGCGCACACTCGTGTTTACTCGTGTGTGTGTGTGTGTGCGCACGCGTAGAAAGGCATCGCTTGAGCCGGGGCGCGGGCGCTACGTGCTGCAGATGTCCCACTGACCCCCCCACTCATCTGTGTCCCCGCCTTACACCACGTAGCCAACACTCCGCGAAAACAACTCCCGTGACGTCAGTGCAAACGCCAGCTGATGTTGATGCGAGACAGCGCGCGTGGTGCTGAGTGCACTGCAAGCTGCCCATTGTCGTCGTCAACAACCACGTCCTGGCCACTGCTGGATGAACGCCTCCCCCCAAGCCGTCGCTATGTCTTACGGTCATTCGTCATCTGTGAACTATCCACTGCTCGATGGACGCATATCTCCAATCCGTCATTATCCCTTAAGGCCATCGTACTGATTAGAATCAACCACGTTCTATACTCTGCTGGACGAACGCCTCTCCCAAATCCGTTGCTATCCATTGGGGTCATCCTCGTCATCCGTGAACTATCCACTGCTCGATGAAGACCTCTCCCAAAGCCGTCAATTGCAATCGCGGTCATCATCAATCACGAGAACGTAATAGCCATGAAACTCTCCGCCTAAGTGCAAACGAGACAATGTGTGTCGCTGTTGTGAGCTCGGACTCGGATCCATCGCACCGTGTCCCAGAGTGACTCTTTGCAGCACAGCAATTGAGAATGTTTCATTATTTGGTTCTTTCGGTTAAGTCACGTCTAAAGATAAAATAATAAATTAAATAATAGCATACGACGTTTCGACCACTCATTGATATGCAAATGTTTTCTCTAACCCCCTCCCTCTCTGCCTCCTCCCTCCTCTGTCTATTTAAGGCCACCCCACAGAGATGATCACCCCTCTCTGGTTCCTGTGTTGCTCCCTCTATGTATCTTGGTGATATCTGTCTGCTAATATGTCTGTCTATAGTTTTCTGGTTAGATTTTATGTCGCTATTTCATTATACCTGATGATGATTGCTTGTGTTGCAATCGAAACGTCGTATGCTATTATTTAATTTAATTTATTATTTTATCTTTAGACGTGACTTAACCGAAAGAACCAAATAATAATTCCTGCAGTCACGAAAGTTCTAAAATTAAGATTGAGAATGTTTCCTCGAGCGAGAAACTTGGCATCATCATCATCAGCGCGGTTGGCTACGTACGGTGCGAAACAAGTGCAACACGCATACATCCGGCCCGATTCCCATTCGAACGTCAAACTTTATTTCGAAATAATTTGAGTACAACATTAAGAATCACCCGTATGCCGAACGTAGACTCTGCTGACATCAAACAACCCGTAAAACCACGTTGAATTTTCCGCATTGCATACCTTTAATTCCACGCTATACGCTTTATCTTACAAATGAACTGTTCCACTGATCATCGCCACGATCTCATTAACTCGGCATGTTGGGACAAGCAGGCACAGTGGGCATGGAATTGTTTGTTGAAGTTGCGTTTGTCAGTAGTGTATCACCACGTGAAATAAAACAACTGAACACGTTCGTGGATAAAAACATGTTTTTTTATTATTTTATTGTTTCCCTTCTACGTGACTTTACCGAAAGAACCAAGAATATGAATCCCTGCAGTCACGAAAGCTTTAAATAAAAAAAACACTGTGGCCTTTCAAAAAACATCAAAGGTGGCGTTTCTTCATAACACACTGTCCCTCTTCCATTTCTTCATATGCAACTAAACTGAAACATTTAAATACAATATTTCGCTAGGTAAGGCCCACTGAGCTATGTAGATCTTTTTCAGAAGCGACCTGGCCACAAATGAAAGCTCAACGAAGTGGCTTATGATGTGGACGTTTATAGCCGTCAAATACTCTAAACGCACGTTTTTAAATGTGTAGGGAAAAACCGGACGACCCGGAGAAAAATCCACGCGACCACGGGGGAGAGAGAGACACGCAAACTCATACCTGTCAACCCCTTATCGGTGCCTACCTTATTAGAGACCAATTCAGACTTTATTGCTCACCCCGTGCCCCTTATAAGTCTCAACGTTCACCCTACAAAGACCCATCCCAACGGAGAAACACAAACAAATAGACACAATTTTTTTTTCTCCGTATTGAAACGGCTGTACGCCGTATGGACCCGCCGATAAGAAGGGCCAGTGGACCCGAAACGTCGCCTAGTGTATCCAATTTTTCATGATCGTTGCAGCTCGCGGTGACGACCCATGCTGATTGGCCCCAGGCTCCACTCGTGGGCGGAGCTTTGCGCATAAAAGCTCGCGATGACCACGCCGCTGTTGACACGGACCGGGAGGCGAGAGAGCGAATAGACTTGAACCGTGGCTTGTAACTCGCTCTCGCCCGACACCCTGCCTGGCTCGGGGTCCATCGTTCACTCCGTTTTAACTTTTAAAATCCAACCCGAACTGGCCTCCTGGAGCCGAGCGACGAGAGCACATCGCTGCGTCCGTCTCTCGCCGCGAGCCGTTTAAAGGGAGGAGGGGGGCGGTCCACGTTGTGGATTCGCGAAGTGGTAACAGATTGAACCCTCGGGGTCGTTTTGTGTTCCTAGCTTTGGTGGGAGGCACAGTAGTGGGGGGGCGGCGGAGTTGAGGGGAGCTTTGTCGGTTACTTAACGGGGGAAGGGGGTCAAGCTCCTTAATCCGACGCCACCATGAAACTCGTTCGGTTCCTGATGAAGAACGCGGGGCTTGTGCACCTGCCCCGGCAACTGGAGCACTACTCAAAGTTTTCTCCTTCGCCGCTCTCAATCAAGCAGTTCATCGACTTCGGTAAGACAGACGTCACCCGCGCCGAGGCGCTCTACACGTTTGCGGCTGAGTCGACCTAGGGGTGGGTGGGGTCCACGAGTGGTTCAGATAATCGTCGCTGGTGTTGGCCGTGAGCGAGAATCGAACTCGCGCTGACCACTACGTTACCGTTCCCCGTGCACCGTAGCGGCCCCATTAATAACAGCGTGTTAACGACGACACTATGCCCCGACAGTCCCATGAAGGCTTTAAAGGGGGCTGGGGGTGGGGCAGGAGTCTCTGCGCAACGAAAGTGTGGCAGTGCTCTGTGCGGAATGGCAGTCGGTGGTGATTGCCGCTGATGCTCATGGTTGTGGCTGCCGCTACTTGGGTAGCGTTGATGTTTGATGACAGAGAGAGATGAACGTCACGTGTTTATCCTGGTGCTGCTGGTGGTGGTTGGTGGGTGTTGGTGGGCACCGCTGTGGCTATGAGATGTTAACTACCTCGCCTGATATGCAGGAGGACGTGGGTTCAATCCCGACCCTGATGCCTTCTGCAGTATATTTGGAGTTTGCGTGTCTCTATCTCTCATCATCATCACGGTGGCTAGGGGATGTTAAATACATCGCCTGATATGCAGGAGGTCGTGGGTTCGATCCCAACCCTGATGCCTGCTGCTGTATATTTAGAGTTTGCGTGTCTCTCTCTCTCATCATCATCACGGTGGCTAGGAGATGTTAACTCCCTCGCCTGATATGCAGGAGGACGTGGGTTCGATCCCGACCCTGACGCCTGCTGCTGTATATTTAGAGTTTGCGTGTCTCTCTCTCTCATCATCATCACGGTGGCTAGGAGATGTTAACTCCCTCGCCTGATATGCAGGAGTACGTGGGTTCGATCCCGACCCTGATGCCTGCTGCTGTATATTTGGAGTTTGCGTTTCTCTCTCTCTCTCATCATCATCACGGTGGCTAGGAGATGTTAACTCCCTCGCCTGATATGCAGGAGGACGTGGGTTCGATCCCGACCCTGACGCCTGCTGCTGTATATTTGGAGTTTGCGTGTCTCTCTCTCTCTCATCATCATCACGGTGGCTAGGAGATGTTAACTCCCTCGCCTGATATGCAGGAGGACGTGGGTTCGATCCCGACCCTGACGCCTGCTGCTGTATATTTGGAGTTTGCGTGTCTCTCTCTCTCATCATCATCACGGTGGCTAGGAGATGTTAACTCCCTCGCCTGATATGCAGGAGGACGTGGGTTCGATCCCGACCCTGACGCCTGCTGCTGTATATTTGGATTTTGCGTGTCTCTCTCTCTCATCATCATCACGGTGGCTAGGAGATGTTAACTCCCTCGCCTGATATGCAGGAGGACGTGGGTTCGATCCCGACCCTGACGCCTGCTGCTGTTTATTTGGAGTTTGCGTTTCTCTCTCCCCGTGGATTTTTCTCCGGGTACTTTTTCTCCACATTTAGAAACACGCGTTCCACGTGATAAGCCACTTCGTTGAGTTGTCATTTGTGGCCAGGTCGTTTCTGAAAAAGAGCTACGTAGCTCAGTGGGCCTTAACTGGTAAAATAAAAACAATAGTTTAGTTTAAATAGTTTAGTTTGGTGGGGGAGCAGCACCGTGGTTGCAACTCGGATGGATGGTGATGGTATCGCTGGTGGCTGTTGAAATCCGTTTGGATTTTGCTGTAGCTGAAGGCAATTGACGCTGATGCTGAAAGTGGTGTTGATCGTCGGATGTAACGTAATGACAAAAACACCGTGGCCTTGGAACGTATTTTACAAAGTAATATTTGTTCTGTACACAGTACATATTTGCCTTTTAAAGCCGCAGTGTCATTGATGAATGTGTTGAGGTTTTTTGTTGTTGTTACTCGCACGTGTGCAAGCAACACTTGCGAACGCAGCAGTGTCACCAGATCATTTGTCGAATCGGATATCATGGGGGGGAGGGGGCCTTCTACTCACGCTAGCAGACTCGAGAGCGTCGACCTCCATCCATCCACTTTGTGAAAAGTTCGTGGCGACATTACATGTCGAATCAAAGATTAAGTCGACCCAGCGTACCCATGGCAGTGGGCTCAGTGTTGGCTGATGACGATATTGTGATCTTACTGTTGCTGCTGATGACGGTGGCTTGTTCTTGGTAAGACGTCATGGTGGATTTCGCATGGGTTGTGGTCGTCGTGGTGGTGGTGATATGCTTTTTAATGTTGAGTGTGTTGTCCTTCCCCCGCACCTCCGATTAGCACGGTTGGCAGCGTACCGTGCAAAAGAAGTTCAACGTACAGCACACACATCGATTTGTTTGCTATACAAGTAAGATCCCGCTGAGACATTCAGTCTTTTTGCAAGGGCGAGATGGATGAATCAGGTCACGGGCAGTGCAAAATTAGCTGGTGAGACAACTCGATGCAAAGAAATTAAAATAAAGCATTGCTGGATGAGGACCGCTTCACGCCATGTGGATCATAGGGTTTGTTCGGCCATACTTCACCACGCCGGCCAGTGCAAGTCGCTGGAGGAGTGCGAGAGGGAATGGCCCAGGACCAGTTTATAAATCGCATGCCACTAAATGTTTGCCGTGGCCGGTAATCGAACTTGGGTCGCAGGCGCGCTCACCACCGTGCCTGCCACCGCTGCATCAGTTGAGAAGTCATCAAAACGAAATGGCGAGCACATTTCAAGCAATGCTGGCGGAACACAAAGAGGGAAAATGGTTAGAATCTTTATTTGGACTGAAGGAGGAATCCGATGAGCTATGAAGCTCTTTTTCACAGATGTCCGGTATAGGCGGGTCAGCAGGTTGCAACAGCAAACAATACAAAAAACGATAGCGCAGAATAGAGAAAATGGTTAGCAAGTCACTAAAAAATAATAATTCTATAAGTCCGATCCATCAAGATTGGGCAAGGCAGCAAAAACCACCACCAAACAGTCCCAGACCACACCGAGATAACGCACAGTAGTCCTCAATAGAATGGCACATTCACGTGAAAACTATCCATACACAGGTAATGATCAAAGTTACAAGTCACAATTAACGCAGGCAATGCAGATAACGCGAATTAAAACGCACTCGGTACAACGACTGCAGCCAAGTTGCCATGCACAAGGAACCAACCACCGAGCAAAGGTGTGAAACGCATGACGCAGGACCTTCATGTGAGAGTTGGGAATGGGGCAAGGTGGTGATGCCATTACGGGCAGCTGTGTCGACAAGAGTGACATCGTGATGGAATCTTTTGCACGTTCCCTAACCTCCACGTTACCTATCCCCTTTATTTCATTGTTACAATTGTAGTTAATAATGTATTATTTTTCATATAACCGTTTTGAAATATATATGCCTCTCGTGACTGGAGGTGCGGGGTCACAGTGTAATTGTCAGCTTGCGATTAGATGCATCGGTGTGGTACGTGTGCGATGTGAATGTGTAGTCGATTTAGACGTTATTCACACGGGAGCGCCATGGTGGCGAGATGTTCACTCCCTCGCCTGGTATGCAAGGGTTCATAGGTTCGAGCTCGACCCTGACGCCTGTTGTGTATTTGGAGTTTCCATGTTCTCCCCGTGGTCGAGTGGATTTTTCTCCGGTTCCTCAGCTTTTGCCCCTCCACATTTACAATCAACGTGCGTTTATAGTATTTGAGTGCTGTTAATTTCCACTTGATGAGCCACTTCTTTCAGCTATTAAACGTGGCCAGGTCGCTTCTGAAAATTTGCAATATAGCTCAGTGGGTCTTACCTGGTCAAGTAAAAATTGTTTATAGTTCAGTTTTAGCATGCATGGGGCATGTGTAAGTGTGGTGGTTTTACGCTTTCACAAACAAGTGAGAATACAGAGGAACCATCAAGCCGTGTTGACTAAACGGATTACTCATATTTCACGGTCAATACAGCACATCAAATACGCATTGTTTCAAGTGGCAAGACGGTACTGAAACGTACAAATATTTGCCCCGGTTTGCACTTTTCCGAACGCGAGAGTGCAGAAATGTGGCTTTATTCACGAACTCCTGTTGTAATGGTGTTCTGTGTAACCGTTTACATCCGCCTGTGTAGTGGATTAGTGTGAGTTAATGCATTGTGTGTGTGTGTGTACCATGACTGCATTGCTATGTTGTGGTTGGTCGCGAATCATATTACTTCATTAGCATGTACAATAAATATGCGGTTGTTGTTTAGGATTTTTATTTCATTTTGCCACTATAGCACGTTGGCCAAACACGGGCATGAATGTTTCCGTGACATTTCAAGTGCGTGGCGTAAGTGCCCTTGACCAATCTTTGTGCATGGCGTAATAAAATGCCCTTTTGTGTTATCGTAAGCTTGTCGCGGATGGTCTGTTTACACGGAATACTCATACAGGATTATATTTTATGAATAGCCATGTTATCACACGCTCATTGGCAGTTTGCTTTTATTTAATTAGAAAATAATTCATCACTAATCAATTAAAGATGGCTCGCTCGCGTTCAAATATATAATCACTTTGCAAATAACAGCGCGACCCGGTTGGTGTTTTTTTCCATCCCTTTGTCTGCCGCGTTTTCAGGATCGCGAAATGCGTGCGAGCGGACCTCGTACGTGTTCCTGCGGCAGGAGCTGCCCGTCCGGCTCGCCAACATAATGAAGGAGATCAACCTTCTCCCCGACAACCTCCTGAGCACGCCCTCTGTGCAACTCGTGCAGAGCTGGTGAGCCGCTCGCTCGCGCGTGCGTCTTTGCGGGGAGCGGCAGTGCAGCGGTTAGCGCACTGCGCTACGAACCCGGCGACCCGGGTTCGATTCCCGCTCACTGGTCAACACCAGTGACGATTTTCTGAACTGATACTGGGCCTCCCATAGGTCGACTCAGCCTCCAATGACTACCTGGTACGGTGTGTTAACATCGCCACTGGGGAGATGAAGGCGACCGAGCGTGGTGCTGGCAAGCCACCTCCTCGTGTGCCGTGCAGGCCTTTATAGGAGCTTGCTAACAGCACTTGCCCCAAGAGTCCGTGAAGACTATATGGGGGATCTTTATCTTTTGTGGCCGCTCTTGCCCCAACGGCCTATGTAAGCTACTTGGGGATGGCCTTTGTCTTTATTTTACATGCTTAATTTCTGCTGGGTCTGTATGCCGCTGTGTCGGCAAACACCCCAACATTGCGGTGTTACTCTCGCTATGGCTGTGGATCCTGGTTACTTGCCACCTACTCCAGTCTACCAGCCACGTGGGAAATATTCGGCGAGACAAGAATCTTGATTTAGACCAGATTGAACTATGAAGCTCTTTTGCACAGATGTCCAGTCGGGGTGGGTCAGTAAGTTACAAGACATTCGGTCCCTGCCTACAACCAGCCTGTTTACAGGCCCGAGCCAGTGGTAGAAATTCCGCATTCCTATGACGGGAGCGAGTCTATCCATTGGACAATCACTGATGAAAAAGAAGAATTGGTTTTATTCTTTCTGGCAATAAAACAGGTGCTAAGATGTTCAAACACCAAAATAGAAACCTTTTGCAAGGCATCAAGTCTGCATTAACCACACGAACTTCTGGTAAAACATGCAACTAAACATGCTTTGATAATGCATGCATTGTCCTTGAAACTAATTGGGTTATTCCACTATACTTCAACACTATGGTCAGGTTCCCAACAGGCTGTCTACTGCTGCAAAGTAAAGACATATTTCAATTCTTCGATAGCAGTAGGATTGCCATCCACCATCTGCACACAGGTGTTGCATGGCACATGAGGATGGGGGAGCGAGGGGTAGGGTCTAGCATTCCACATTGCCACCTTTGTTTCCCCAATGCAAATGTGTACACACCACACCCATGTTACTCATTGAAGCTTCAGTCGACTTAAGAGAGAGAGAGAGCCTTGCTGCTGATGTTGTTGTCCTTAGCCAAGAATCAAACTCAGGCCATAAGGTATTTGTGGTGCAGTGCGCTAACCACTGTCCACCACCGCAAAGACGAAGATCCCTCTTATAGCTTTACTAGACTGTTGGGGCACGGCACCCGAGTGGGTGGGTGGGCCAGCACCACGCCCGGCCGCCTGTCTCCCCAGTTGCTATGTTTACGTATCACACCACACACGGACATGCATACACGCATCAGCCAATCTGACAGCTGGCATGTGAAGGGTGTTACAACAATTGGAGATGTATTTTCCAAGCATCGTTGAAAGGCGAGGCTATTTTTAACAGTGCGGTCAGTTCAGGGCCGATTCATAATGAGCGCGAGTTGTTAAATTACCTCCTGCCCACATCCATTTGTAGTTGTGCTGCTGCTGTTGTGGGATCTACCTGTGAAATGGACATGCAATAATTCACCCATATGAATTGTCATGCTTTACGGCTTGCGGTTCAGCAAACAACAAATCCTAGCTAGCCGTGGAACAAAGACGCTCATTTCATCGAGCGCTTTCAGATGCACTTCTGCGGCCATCTGGATTGCTCTTCTTTCTGATATTAGGAAGCCACTGGAGCTACACACTTTCATATCTAGATCGAAAACTCGTTTCTAATGAACTTATTTTAATGTTTAGTTCGTTGCCCTTCCCCGCACTTTCGATTAGCATGTTTGGCTACATACGGTGCGAAAGCAGTTCAACATACTCTCTGTTGTCTCGTTTTATCCGTCTCGTTTGTAGAGTCTTGTTCACTTCGTTTGAGATGCACGCATCACATTGCTCCTGTAAGAATTGCTGTTTTTCTATTCGTACGTCCGATGTGATGGGTTCATTTGTCTCTCTGGCCATTGGAGGCCGCTGCATACGACACAATGTTCAAATTGAAGCGTGGCCATTCATTGAATCGCGAAATGGGGGCGAATCGTTAGGCCCATAATTTTTTTTTAACTCAACGAGCTTGCAGAGATGACCTCACTTGACATGCACTTTATGCCCGGACAAGTCCAAGTATCCTCCCACGTTTTCTCACAAAAATGTTTTCTAAATCTCACCGCCAGATAAATGAGATCATACATTAAAAAAGGAAGAACCTTATGACAGGAGTTAAAATAAACCTCACACTTTGAATGACTAGTTTTCAAGTACAGAGTTCAGCTGAAGTGGAAATAGTGAAGCACATCTTCCTTCAATCCCTCTGTGCTGATAAGGTTTGGGTGCCTTTGTTCAGTTTCTTTATCGGCAAGTTTCGTCCCCTTATTCGAATCAATGTGGATTGCCTTAATTAGTTACAGTGTACAGCTCTTTGTCGATCCAATGCTGGATAGAGAAGGACCACCCCATGCCATGTCAACCATGGGAATTGTGTGACCATACTTCACCGCGCTGGTCTGCCCAGATTGGCGAGATCAGGCCCAGCACCGGTTCAGATACCATTCACCACTGATGTTTTTATTTTATCACGGCTATGGTACTCTTCTTATGAAGAAGAGCCATTACCCAAAACGTCGCCCATTGTATACTTTTGACTCTTTTTTAAAGGCCGTGCTATGGACGCTGTTTTGTTTCAACGGTGCTATTTTTGTTTTTGAAGGCTGCCGGTAAGGTCAGCCACCGCGGGGTCAGGAAACGCGAAGCGGTTTTTTTATAACTGAAAAATGCAACACGGGGACTTTTTGGTTTGCGCGCGAAGATAACCTCAATCGATTCTACCACCACCATGCACGCACGCTCGTTTAAACCCTCAGCTTACAAGACAACAACAATAACTACTGCTACTACAGCTGCATCCCCTCTGTGCTATAATTTAGCATCTTAACCTGATGCTTTATACGTCCAGTGTACGGGTCTCGAGGGCTCATGGTCAGCCGCTGGCTAAATGCCCTCCTCTGGTGACCATGATCTTTGTCCCAGTTAGCCGGGACGAGTGGGGGATGGGTGGGGGAAGCTGGGCACGTGACCCCCCTCAACGCACACACCGCAACACACCCCTCCCCCCCCCCCCCCGTTTTTGCAGGGCTGTGCATTTTTGTGAAGGTGTTGCCAGACCCGAGGTTTAAACCTCTGGGTCAGATGAGAGATTTAACCTCTGGATCAGATGCGAGGTTTAAACTCTGGGTCAGATGCGAGGTTTAACCTCCGGTTCAAATGCGAGGTTAAAACATCCGGGTCAGACGCAAGGTTTAAAGCTCTGGATCAGATGCGAGGTTAAAACCTCTGGATCCGATCAGAGGTTTTCATCTCAGAATCATATGCGAGGCTTAAACTCTGGTTCAGATGCGAGGTTTAACCCTCTGGGTCAGATGCAAGATTTGACCTCTGGACCTAGAACTGAAATACATACGGTATTCAGTACTGAACTGGACTTTGGGAAAGTTTCGGGTTTTTTTCTCAGGTTGTATGGGAATAACAACCTTCCCAGTCTCCCACATGAGCTTTGAAGCTTGGTTAATGAGGAAAGGAAATACTTCAAAGTTGCAGTCAAGTAATATTTCAACCAGTACTGCCTCATTTTCACCAGTCCAGTATCCTGTTCACACTCCAAACTGTTTGCGTATGTAGCCAACTGCACGGGAGAAGGATAACGAACTAAACACAAAAGGCCATTTCTGAAGAAATTAGTATTCAATGTAGATGATTTAAAAGTGCATAGCTCCAGTGGCTGTCTAATATCGGAAGGAAGAGCGTTCCAGACGGCCGCAGAAGCGCATCTGAAAGGGCGCAATGCGATGACCGTCTTTGTTCGCGAGTTAGCCAGAAGCCGCTGTTGCGAGGAATGATGACCGGAGTTTGCGTGATGGTCTATGTTTGGCGATGCTGCTGCATTGGCACTGGTGCACAGCCACAGGGAACAAAAAGACTCAACACTTTCGTCATTAACACTGCCCTTGAACGTTAATAATTGGCGACGTTTTGGGTAATGAACCTTCTTCATAGTGCATAAATGTAGCCACTCGGTCATTCTTAGTACCGCCTGCTTCACCTTCCCAACCGATGCCACAGCTGGAGGAAGCACAGCTGCTGGGGCCTGGGGGAGTTGTGATCTTTGTGAAATATACGTTGCGGTCGTTTGACCATACTTCACCATGCTGGTCAGTGCAGGTGGGTAGGTGAATGCCTCACCTCCCACTGATTACCTGAATGGTAGTGGGCGTCCAGATGTCCAGTTAAGCTACTCGAGTCTAAAATGCATCTCCAATCAGCAAGGTTGGCTACGTAAGGTGCGAATAATGTTCAAAATATATCCTCTCGAGCCTCAACTAACCAATTGCTTATTTTTATTTTACCAGGCAAAGCTCATTGAGTTTTTTTTCAGAAGCGACCTGGCTACAAACGATAGCCGAATGAAGTGACATCATGTGCAGATCTATAGCAGTCAAATGCTCTAAACACATGTTGATTCTAAATGTGGAGGGAAAAACCGAAGGACCCGGATAAAAATCCACAGCGACCACGGGGAGGATAATGCAAACTCCAAATATACAGCAGCAGTCGTCAGGGTCGGGATCGAACCCGCGACCTCGTGTATACCAGGCGAGGTAGTTAACATCCCGCCACTGCGGCACACTCTCTTGCCACCTGCGTCAAGAACGTGCCGTTCCAGTCAACATGGAACGTTGTGGGCCAACGTTAGTCCAACGCTTCCAACCACGTGCAAACGTTGGCCCAATGTTGGCGCATTTTTGCTGGGTCGTTGAAGAACACCGCATTTATATACGGGGCGTTACTGAAATAATAATAAGAAAAACAAACGCTCAACACTGCTCATTTGTGGTGTGCGCAGACACAAACTGCTTACTCCCATCACACAATAATGTGTGCTGTTGGCGCTGCAGTACTGTATTATGTAATGTTCAGTCGACAACAAGATCCGTTTTGAGCTTGTGCGTCAAGGGGAAATCGGTGTCACGATCGCTTGAGAAGTGACGACTTGGGAAGTGTTTACGCGGCGAGCTGAGTGGGTTTCGGCGATGCGTGAGCAACAACAGCAGCAGCTGCTGCTGCGTATCCGTCGCCTTGGCCGTGTAAGAACTGAGAACGTCAAACAGCTGAGTCTTCTTGGTCGTGCTAACGTCGTTTGAGCTTGTTGGATTTTTTGCTCCGGTCCCCCCCCCCCCACCAACCTCCGCCGCCACATTTAGAAAGATGCGTTGAGATTAATTTGGCTACTTTAAATTTCGGCGTGATAAGCCACTTCGTGGAACTATCAACTTTTGCCAGGTCGCTTCTGAAAAAGAACGATAAACTCAGTGGGCCTTTCCTGGTCAATACAAATTGTGTGGTTTTGTTTATTGAATTATTTTGGTGATTTTCTTCCCTTTCACTCCTATCATTTTTGTTGTGTTGTTTGCTGTTGTAACTTTCTCACCCGCCCCAACTGGACATCTGTGAATAAGATCTTCATAGCTTATCAGATTACTCCAGGATAAATGCACATTTTGATCTTGACATACATTCCTATTCGCACTGCTGGAAATAAATCAACTATATCGTGCAAATCAGGCACTTGCTCTCATCACTTATCATGAGCCATGATGATTCCACTGTCGCCACCTCTCAAAGGTGCTGTGATGAACTTGTTATAAATTGTGGGTAAAGCAAACGTAAATCAATGTTACATTATAAAATTCCTGTGACGCAAGTCGGCTCGGGCAGATAATTTTTAGGCTGATCGGAGGAGATTATAAATAACAAAATGAATATGCAGAAAATGTGTGTCCTTTACAAATTCGTCTCTCCAAATAAAAGCAATTATATAAAACAAATATTACACAACCCATCAACCTTTTGGGAGTGCATCATATCAGCAGCATTAATTCAAGACAAACAAAACTCTGGGCCGGTTTCGACACGGTGTTTCATCAGCAAATTCAGGGCGTGCTTGAATCAATGTTAGTGAACTGCTGATCGATGCAGGCAAGGACCCAATTACAGTTAAGTTAGACATGACACATTCAACTCGGGAGCTTGCAGGGAGCATAGCACGAGCGAACCCATGTGTTGTTTTTCCTTGCTTGTTGATCCCGACCCTGACGCCTGTTGTATATTTGGAGCTTGCATGTTCTTCCCGTGGTCGCGTGGATTTTTTCTCCGAGTCCTCCAGGTTTTCCCTCCATATGTATAATCAACGTGCATTTATAGTATTTGGCTGGTATACATTTCAACATAATGAGCCACTTCGCTGAGCTATAATTTGTGGCCAGGTCGCTTCTGAAAAAGAGCCTAATCGCTCAGTTGGGCCTTACCTGGTAAAATAATAAAAAGTTTCGTTTCGTTTTTAGTACGGTGCGAAAATACATTCCAACATACAGCGAATGGCATCAACAACAACCACCGCCATGACCACCAACCACCACTTGCCCGCCCATGGGGCTCCGTGAACGTGTGAGCCTCGGAACACATTACCCCGAGGTTGACCCGTGTTGGTGTGGAAAACGTCGAGCCCCCGGCATCTGCGCCTTCCCATTCGTCGGTGGAATGTGAAAGCGCGCATCGCTGTTGGTCGGTTATCCGGGGACCCGGGGCGCTGCCTCGTTTGCCCTCTTCTCCGCGCCTCTTGCGGAGGAGGAGTGGGGTGGGTGGCGGTGGGATGGAAATGTGGCAAGAGGCGTGTACAGGGAAGGGGTGGTCTCAGGACTTGTCAAGCATGGGTGGAGGAGAAAGCGAGGTGGTGTATGGGGGTGGGGAGCATCAGATTAGCACGGTTGGCTACATATGGTGCGAAAGAAGTTCGACATAGGGCATTACTTAGCAGACGCGTTTGAAATTCAACCAAAGCGGCGGCGGATTTCGTTGGTTCTGCTTACTGCTGCTCTACGCGTGCTGTTGAGTCGTTATGCAGGCTGCTGCGGGGCTACCTTGTGGGGGTAGTAGAGAGGGGGGGGGGTGCTAGCGTGCAGCAAAATCCATTATTGTACAGTACTTGTGTGCTCCCTCCCTTCACAAAATGTTCACGGAGGTACGGTGAAATAACAGCCCACAACCTGTACAACGTGCACTTCCGAGACCACGAAGCATGCCAGTCGCACGGTCATGCATGTACTGTGGGTATGGATGTCACGTTCGGGAGGAGTGTATTGTGGAAGTGCTGTGTTTGTGTGTGCACGCGCGCGCATTTGCAATGCGTGAATCCAGTTTGAGTAGCTCCGAAATAAAAATCTGCCTCGGTTTGTCCACTCTCAGCTGATGCGTGAAGGTAAATTCATTGAGTTGAAGCTGTGGCATGAGCTAGCAGAGTGGCCTTATCATTTCTAGATTTGAAGCTTTCGTGACTGCAAGGATTCATATTCTTAGGTTTTTTCAGAAAAATGTCACGTAGGTAAAAATAATTTAAATTAATAAAAGTAAAATAAAACAAAAATCACGACGTTTCGGAGGCAACACGAAGACCGAAGCTTGTGTTGCCTCCGAAACGTCGTGATTTTTATTTTATTTTACTTTTATTAATTTAAATTTTTTTTCCTACGTAACTTTACCGAGAAAACCTAAGAATATGGCCTTATCATCATCGGCGCTTCCACGCAGCCCACGCAAGCTCGCCAGGAGGACTGGTCTGGTGGGAGCCCAGCACTTTTGTCTGGCCATCGAAACAAAGATGATCACTGCGTAGCGCGCGTTCAGATGCGCTACTGCGGCCGGCTGGAACGCTCTTTCGATATTAGCCACTGGAGTCGTGCACTTTTACATCGTCGAGATTGGAAACTCATTTCTTCAGAACTGCCTTTTGTATTTACTTTGTTTCCCCCCCAATACCGCACCACGTTACGTTTGTGTTCAGCAAAAGTCCGGCGACACTGGGAAACCTGGGCCGGAGTTTGAAGCAGTCTCTAATTAGAGCCACATGTCATCGTTGTGTGTGTGTGTGTTTCATCTCCCAAGTCATCTCAGTTATAACCCATAACACCTGAGTCTGTCCCGTGACCTTCCTGCCAGCAGCGAGTCATCCACGCTTCACGTGGCGTCAAAGCGCACCTAGCCTGGCACAGTGGTGGTGACATCACCATCACTTAGTTTCTGTCGGCTCTTGCTATTGTTTGTTCGGTTGCGTTGTTTTTATTATTATCGCAAGTGCTTGCGAACACAAACTTGCCCAGAATACTATCCAAGCAGTATTGCAAATCTTTATATTTATTTGTGTATTCCATTTTTAGTGAAATTATTTTAAACAAAAAAAATACAGTTTTCACATCGGTATCTGTTTCGTTCTCCATGTTCCCATTACTCATTTGCAGTTCTCGTCCTGTCTTGTGCGCAAAGTACAGCGATGTCGTGACCGCTTGTAAACGTGGACTTGGTGGTGTCCCCAACATCACAACTTCCAGTGTTGGAGGGTTCGGCTCGAGCTGTCTCGGTTGGGGGAAGGGTTGGTGTTGGTGGTGGGTGGGGATGGTTGCGGGGTCACGTGATGTTTTTCTGGACATTCGCAAGTGTGCGTGCCGTGGTGGTGCTGCTGCTGCTGCATCCGCTGCTGCTACCCACACAATCCGCCTGTCCAGTTTTCTTAGATTACGTGCGAGTTCAACTGTAAACACTGACCCCTCTCTTCCCCCGACAACTCAACAGAACACCGCGTCCCCTTTACTTATTTAGAGCTTGCGTTCTTTAATTATTTCTCAGAGTAAGAGCCCTGTTTTTTTGCCCGTTTCAATACGAGGAAATTTTTTTTATTGTCTATTTGTTTGTGTTTCTTCCGTTGGGATGGGACTTTGCAGGATGAACGTTGAGATTTTGTAAGGGCACGGGGCGACCAGTAAAAGGTCTGAATTGGTATGTAACAAGGTAGGGCACTGATACGGGGTTGACAGGTATGGAGGTACAGAAATTACAGCGCAACATGAATAACATTTGAAAATAACATCTTGTCCCTGGTGGTGCAAGATTTATCGATACATATCGATTCTTACGCTTCTGATACGTGCATTGAATCGTGTGCATGAGAATCTACATATATCGATTGTGCATATTGTACGTGCAGTGACACTAAGTACACTGATCCGCACTCCGAAAATCATATAATTTGCGGGGGTGGAAATCCTAAATTCCACAAGTTTCCACAATTTATTTGGAGCATTTAGCCGAGCAGTTAAATGCTCGTAAAAAGAATACAAACAAAAACCTCGTAAAATCCGTGAATTTCCGTAGATTTTTCCCAACAATTTTTTTAGGAGTTAAAATCGCATGCATAAATCTGGATAATGATGACTTTGCATCCCACTTTCGAGTTAATTCTCTTACACACGTACAAGTGGATTCCTGTTATCCACAATTCTGCGGATAATAGGGAGGTCTGCGGATCTATTCTTAGAAATATCGCTGAGATGTTAACGTAAGCAGCAGCATGCAATTCTAATAATACAACTTTCTCAGGCATTCACAGTGATGTGTCAGAATAATGTTAAGCAAGTTTGAAACGGACATGTACAAATAATGTCAATATCATGCATTTGTCATTCCCACCAGGTATGTGCAGAGCTTCATGGACATTTTGAAATATGAAGGCAAAGATCCGGAGAGTGATGTCCTTTCAGGGTAAGAAATGCACGCGTGCAGTGTACACGTTTGCTGTACTCAAGCATTACGCTTTACCAACGTATATGTTTTCTTCAGTGATCAGTTAGTATTTACAGCGACATTTATCCATTAACAACACGCTTGGTTGTGGAGCGAGCGGTGGCAAAGCAGTTAGCACACACCGCTATGAACGCTGGTGAGATGTTAACTACCTCGACTTGTATACAGGAGGTCGTAGGTTCGATCCAGACCCTGACACCTGCATATTTGGAGTTTGTATGTTCTCCCTATTGTTGCGTACATTTCTCTCCAGTTTTTCCCTCTACATTTAGAAACTTCCGTTTAGAGTATTTGGCTGCTATAAATTTCCAAGTGATAAGCCATTTCGTTCGGCTATTATTTGTGGCCAAGTCGCTTCTGAAAAAGAGCTACATAGCTCAATGGGCCTTGTCTGTTAAAATAATGATAGTTTCGTTTATAGTTTAGTTTAGAACACTTGGGGTGACCCGCGTTCAATTCACGGCCACGGCTAACATCGGTGGCGAGTGAGATCCGAACCGGTCATTGTGTGATCTCCCCTCTCACCCTCCACTTGACAAACCCATATTGTTGCATCAGAGGGACCGTGAGAGTAATTGTGACCACTTGGGGAGGCCTTCATCTTGCAGTTGATCGATCATGGCTGACTTTGCCTTTTCGGTCGACACACAAAGTGCTTGCCACAAATGAAATACAATACCTTGCTGACCTCGTCACGGAACATAAACCATCATGCAAACTCCGGTGATCGTCACTGCAGCGGCTTTTAGCTAACCACCCAACAAAGGGGGTCACTGCATCGCGCGCTTTCAGAAGCGCTTCTGCGGCCCTCTTGGGTACGCTCCTCCTTCCAATATTAGGAAGCCACTGGAGCTATACACTTTCAAATCGAGATTGAAAACGTATTTCTTTAGAACAGTTTCTTGCGTTTAGTTTGTCGTCCTTACTCCACACATCCGATGAGCGCGGTTGGCTACGTACGAAAGATGTTCACCGTACATGCGTACATTGTTGCTGTGGTGGATTTAGATTCATGGAGACGCTGGTGAATATCCGGAACCGGCACAACGACGTGGTGCCCACGGTGGCGCAGGGCGTCATCGAGTACAAAGAGACATACGGAGTGGACCCGGTGACCAGCCAGAATGTGCAGTACTTCCTCGACCGCTTCTACATGAGCCGAATATCCATCCGCATGATCATCAACCAGCACAGTAGGTGGCCTCGGTGACTCGGATGGAGGCGGGGGAGTGGGGCGGGGGGGTGTTCATCATGGCCGTGTCAGAGTCGCTGAGCCGAGGCACCTACGTGGTACCCGAGTGCAAACCCGCATTTAAGCTGCCCGTGCTTGCATTGTGTTGTCGTATTGTATTGTGTTGACCAACGAATACAATTGCCATAGAGTGCCAATGTGCTCTCAACGTGCGGAGGAAAATACACCGATGAATGGACGCGTTACAGATGAGCCAACGTGGGAGCACCGAGCCGGCGCTGTGATTGGGCACCAACGGCTCCATGGACCGCGTTTAGATTTGAATTGTCACCTCACTTCGACGTACTGTCGCCCGGTATTGCAGTCAACGTTGCTCGCATTTTGGGCACACGTTAGCCTATCGCCCCCCGGCTTGGGCGGCCCAAGATTAGGTTTATTTGCCGAGAGCCAACCGAGGACGTAGCTCCACGCTTTATGGATCCCAAGCGTCACGGCGTCATTATGCGGCAAGGCAGGGGAGTTGTGCTGACAGCAATGGAAACTTTGCCACGTAAATAAAAACCAAAAGTCTCCTCGTCGTAGGAGGAGCAAACAAGTTCAAAGTTCAATGTTTATAGACGGGCGCGTGGCATTGAGCCGTGGTTAAATTTGGAGCATTTCGCCGATACGATCGCCACGGAGGCGTCTGCTTTTGCCATGACCACCTGCCACAATTTAAAGGGACCGATGCCCTAATGGCACCGGCGGTTGTCGCGGAGAGGCAATCTAAACAATCTGACTAAACGCCCGTGCCTGGAAATGAAGCGGCTGGTCTCACTAAGTGGCGCACGCGCGGACGTTTGAACGCGCGCGCACCCGTGAGTGCCTCGTTACTCCGCCTTATCGGTTCCGCGCCATTTAGCCAGAGCCCTCGCCCCAGAGTCGGTCGTGCTCACCGATCGCGGGAGCGCTGTTCCCACTGTGTCACGTGCGCGGACCGGCCGCACCCTGATCCCCAGATACCGACCTTGCGGCTGCGACGCGGTTTCTCGCCCGACGTCGTAATCCCCGTCGGCGTCATCAGCGTCGTCGCGCTTGCGATCTTTTGGTAAATTATGAGCAGCTCTGGTCAACGGTTACAGACGCATGGATGCAATGTTGATGACGGAATTCACATGAATGGAGCGGCGGTGGCAGGGAGGAGAGACGTAACTCATCACACACAAAGTTCTTGCCGCAAATGAACCGCAATACCTTACTAATCTCTTCAAGGAGCATAAACCATCACGCAAACTCCGGTCATCCACGTAGCAGTGGCGTTTACCTGACCATTGAACAAAGACAGTCACCGCATTGCACGCTTTCAGATGTGCTTCTGCAGCCGTCTGGAATGCTCTTCGTTCCGATATTAGGAAACGACAGGGGGCTACGCACTTTTAAATCTAGATTGAAAACTCATTTCTTTAGAACTGCTTTTTGTATTAAATTTGTTGCCCTACCCCCACACCTCCAACTAGTATGGCTGGCTACGTACGGTGCGAAAGAAGTTCAACATACTTACCAACTCACATACAGACATTGGCGCGGCGTTCCGCTGTCCCCCTGTTCCTCTCTCTGCCGTCCCTCATCCTCCCGCTTTGCCCATTGTTCGCCCGCTGCAGCGCTGCTCTTCAACGGGGGCTTGAACCCTGCCCACCCCAAGCACATTGGCAGCATCGACCCCAACTGCAACGCCGTTGAGGTCGTCAAAGGTGGGCCTGCAGCACCAGCACTTTCCACGGGGGCATTGTAGGCACCGAGAGTGCGAGGACGCGAGTGCTGACAGTGCTGACAGGGAGTGGCGTTGCAATTGCATCGCGGGATACAAAGAGTGGGGTAGAATATTCTTGGGTTTTCTTCCGGTAAAGTCACGTAGGTAAAAAATTAATTAAAATTAATAAAAGTAAAATAAAATAAAATTAAAATCACAACGTTTCGGAGGCAACACAAGCTTCCGTCTTCAAGTGGGGTAGAAATTTGACGGACGTTGGAATTTGACGGGTGGTGGAGGTGGGTCGGGGGTGCCCATTACGTTCCTGGCACGCCTGCACCGGGGCCCGTGCCGACCGTGCACCGACGGCGCCCTCGCTACAACCACGAGGCCATCGACCGGCGCGCTCGCTCGCTTCCTCGCCTCGGAGCGAGGATCGTTTGGGAGTACGCGGATCCAACTTCTCAGCCACAACACACAAACGCCTACTGCTTTGCAATGGCCCACAAATTGGATGAGTAAATTACTCGTCACGAGAAGCATCTCAGCCTGGTCCGACAGCGGATCATATTCTGGACCTGGCAACACAGTTTCTAATTTTAACGCGCTCCGTCACCTCTGTCGCTTCACGGTCCTCTTACAGCGGATAGCAGGAAACTTGAGAAGTGCGTGTGTGTTCACGTGCGGTTGCCCGCCAGAGGGATTGGTGCGATTCTAACCGAATGGTATTTTACAGTTGGTGATAAAATCAGACAAAAATTAAACGGTGTTCACAATAAGAAAAAAAATATTCTAACACTCTGATGAATGTAATTATCCTTTTTACCAGATGCCTTTGAAAATGCCAAAATGCTGTGTTACCAGTACTACCTGGGCTGCCCCGAACTGGAAGTGTCGCAGTTCAACAGTACGTAAGCAAACAGCACGGCCTCACGGGCACGTGACAGCTGCACTGCCCCACGCGCGAACACAAAGATCTCCCCTGTAGCCTTAACACACCGTTGGGAGAAGTGCCGTTTGCAAGTAGCACCTATGAAGGCCTCGCATGGCACACGTGGAGAGTTGAGTGGCCAGCATCACTCTCGGCTGCCTTTGTCTCCCCAAGCGTATATACACCACACCAATTGCTTATTTAAGGTATGAGTTGGTCTCAGAGAGACCCAGGAACCGCTTCATATGTCCGCCACTGTTATTGTTCATGAGTGGGAATCGGATTCGTGTCACCGGGTTAGCAGTGCAGTGCGCCAATCGCTACACTAGCGTTTCCCACGTGAGCGCATGGAGGTGTGCGTGCACACACACATGCACAACATGGCATGTTGGCTGGGTTGTATGAGGAACGATCTGGACAGGGTACAGTCTGGATATATTGACAGTGTTTTGTAATAACAAGGCAAGTAACACTGCATTGATTCCATCGATTAAAACTGATTCTCGTGCCCATCGTGCGTGAATGGAATGCTGCGTGTGACATCGGATTATTTCAAACTAAACTCTTTTACAGCTATTAGCTATTTTTGAGAAGCGATTTGGCCACAAATGATAGCTCAACGAAGTGGCTTACATTGTGGAAATGTATAGCAGCCAAATACTGTCAACGCTTGTTTCTAAATGTGGAGGTAAAAACCGGAGGACCCGGAGAAAAATCCACGCGACCACTGAGAGAGAGACACGCAAACTCCAATTATACAGCAGCAGGCGTCAGAGTCGGGATTGAACACACGGTCACCTTGGCGACTTCTGAAAACGAAATGCTAGCTATAAGCTCACGTTGACACTTGTGAACAAGAAATGAGAAACAGACGCAAACGAGGTGGTAAAAAGAAACGAGACGGAGAAATTTGGCTTATCGATGCACAATTGACACTCCCCTGGGGGAGGCCTGCATCCAGCAGTGGATTGTCACTTGGCTGTGAATTATTATTATTTAGGAGAAAGTTAAGACCATCAGCCACGTTTTGGAGCTTGAACCTGGGTTTAAATACGTTGAGCGAAACAGCAACGGCAAAGAAAGTTCCACCGTTGACTCAAACACACCGTTCGATTCATGTCGAGCAACGCACGTTTAGGTTGCATAATGCAATTCTCAAACTTTACACAGCAGAAGAATGTGCTTAACTGCGTTACGACAGTCGGTTCTCCCCTGATTGCCAATGTGGGGAGAAACATTTTTGAAGTTTCTGGAGGTTGTGGTGGTGACAAAACAACAGTTTTGGTGCCAGCTATGGAAACAAACAGCCCCTCACTTGGACCCTGTGTGTGGGTCCATCACAACCGAGATGACAATGCACAGCCATAAAACCCCGCAGATTATTCCCCATGCGGCCACTTTGTTTTAGACTTTCAACGTGGAGCTCGATGTACAATGGGGACATAAAAAAAAAATTATGAAACAAATAAAACGATGCCGGGGCCGTTGTTTTATCGACCCCCTCCGGGCAAATGTACGCGAGTGTTTTCTTTCCTCCCCGATTAGCCGCTGTTGACACAGCGAGCCTCGCGGAACACACAGCCTGCTTGCGGTACATTTGACAGCGTGAATATGACAGTGTAAATTCGACCGCAGAGCACCTGGATTTTTGTTTGGTGGCACACACGAGCAGCCTGCCACTCTGTGCACATGCGCAGGGCTTTGCCGTGTGTACGTTGAACTTCTTTCGCACCGTACATAGCCAGTCGTGCTCATCGAATGTACCGACCCGCTTCTGGATGAGGACCTTTCCCCGTATAGTACGGATTGCGGGGGTTAGCGTACCGAACTTCAGCACACTGGTCGGTCCGGGGTTGGTGGAGGCAGGGAGCGTAGGAGTACAGTACAATAGATTTTTCCGCACTGCCCTATCCTGTCCACCACATAGCCCCCGCGATCCGCCTATGACAACCTGGTGTGCATCGTGGTCGCCCATCCCTGCAACTATCCAGGCTCAAGCCTGCTCGGCTTTTGAGCTGTCATGAGATCAGGCTCATGTCAGTGGCGAGATGGTAACTACCTTACCTGGTAACCAGGAGGTCGTAGATTTCATCCTGACCATGACACCTGCAGTATATGTTCTTCCCGTGGTCGCGTGGATTTTTCTGCCGATCCTCCGGTTTTTCCCTCCACATTTAGAAACATGCGTGACCGCTATAAATGTCCACGTGATAAGCCACTTCATTGGGCTACCATTTGTGGCCCAGGTCGCTTCTGAAAAATAACTTATACAGCTCAGTGGGCCTTACCTGGTAAAATAAACATAGTTTAGTTTCGTATTTAGATATGATCAGAGGCGTTGCTCACATTAACACAAAGTGTTTCTTCAGCCCAGCGGCCTGCCGCTCTTCCAGACTTTGTATGGTAAAGTAAACCTCATGACCCACACAGACATTGGGGAACCCTCATCCAGCAGTGGACTGACAAACGTGGGGCTGAATTTGAAAAACACAATAACTGTACATTTTATGTATTGAGTCAACTATTCCCACTTAGTGCATGGCATGAAGCAACCACACTTTGTAGGTAGGGCATCATCTCCTGAAGAAAACCTATGCAGGGATGATGTCATCATTCGCAAGAACTGGGGACTCTCGCTTAGATTTTGTTTTGGTGAAAGTTGAATATAAGAAAAGGTACCCAGTGGCCTATAAAGTTCAGCAGGGCACCAGAACCCTTCTTTGTTTTGTTTTATGACCAACAATTATTGAACAGAGCGGTAATCATGGATGAGAGATATAGCCATGGTGAAAATGTGTTCTGGCCTCGCTTAGTTCATTCTGTTCTCGTGATTGACAATATGGAGCTACACGTCAATGTCAAAATCTGCTGGTCATGACGAGTGCTTTGGGACAGAGGGAGTTGATGTCATTTTGCTGTTTCTCTTCTATTGAAGGAGCGCAGGCTACAGTGGTTTACTATACGGTCCATAGTTTGGGTTGCATTGCCACAACCGTCGCTAATGCGCAAGGAGGAGTTGATGACGATGATGATGATGGTGATGATCCAGAATGCTCCACTGGAGCGCCTGCCGAGCTCTCGTATCCTGACCCTGGAGTGACGGCCGCGTTGCGCGTGTGCGTCTGTGTGTGTGTGCATCTGTGTGTGTGTGTGCATCTGTGTGTGTGTGCGTCTGTGTGTGTGTGCGTCTGTGTGTGTGTGTGCGTCTGTGTGTGTGTGCGTCTGTGTGTGTGTGTGTGTGCGTCTGTGTGTGTGTGCGTCTGTGTGTGTGTGCGTCTGTGTGTGTGTGCGTCTGTGTGTGTGTGCGTCTGTGTGTGTGTGCGTTTGTGTGTGTGTGTGCGTCTGTGTGTGTGTGCGTCTGTGTGTGTGTGTGCGTCTGTGTGTGTGTGCGTGCGTCTGTGTGTGTGCGTCTGTGTGTGTGTGCGTCTGTGTGTGTGTGCGTCTGTGTGTGTGTGCGTCTGTGTGTGTGTGTATGCGTCTGTGTGTGTGTGCGTCTGTGTGTGTGTGTGCGTCTGTATGTGTGTGTGCGTCTGTGTGTGTGTGTGCGTCTGTGTGTGTGAGCGTCTGTGTGTGTGTGTGTGCGTCTGTGTGTGTGTGCGTCTGTGTGTGTGTGTGCGTCTGTGTGTGTGTGCGTCTGTGTGTGTGTGTGTCTGTGTGTGTGTGTGCATGCGTGCGTCTGTGTGTGTGTGCGTCTCGTGGGGAGCAGTAGTGTAGCGGGTAGCGTGCCACGCTACAAACCCGGCAACCCGAGTTCGATTCCTGCTCACGGCCAACACCATCGACGATTCTCTGAGCTGGTCCGGGGGCCTCCTCCCCTAGGTTGACTCAGCCTTAAATGAGTACCTGGTGCGGTGTGTAAACATCGCCACTCGGGAGACAAGGGCGGTCGGGCGTGGTGCTGGCCATCCATCCCCTCGTGTGCCATGTCAGCCTTCATAGGTGATCGCTAACAGCACTTGCCCCAACGGTCTGTTAAAGGCTACACGTGTGATGTTTTTTTTTATGTCTCTTGCAGTACAAGGAGCAGAGGAGGAGGTGCACATGGTCTACATCCCATCCCACCTCTACCACGTGCTCTTTGAGCTCTTCAAGGCAAGCGCCGCCGTCCTGCTCCGAATTGGACGCTCGTGTGCCGGCTGCCCAGTGCTCGGCGCTTGCATTGCAACCGGTTCTCTGTCCCAGGAAATAAATATAAGGGGACGCCACGGTGGCGAGATGTTAATTGCCTCGCCTGGTATGCAGGAGGCCGTGGGTTCAATCCCGACCCTGACGCTTGTACATGTGGAGTCTGCATTGTTCTCTTCGTGGTCGCGTGGATTGTTCTCCGGGTCCTCTGTTTTTTCCCTCCGCATTTGGAATCAACATCACGCGTTTAAAGCATCCCACTTCGCCACATCCAGTATAGCCTCCCGCCGAGGCGGTGGCTTTTAATTGACGTGCCACCCACTCCGGTGTCAACCGGCCGCCTGGAAAATATTCGGGAGGAGAAACTAAGCACTGCCCACAACCGTGGCTACTCGCACGCCATGGGTGCGGGAAGCGGGGGGGTAGGAAGTGCAGAGCTATCCATGTGGTGTGTGCCCCCTCCGATTAGCACGGTTGGCTACGTACGGTGCAAAAGTAGTTCAACATACATACGTGCAAGGAATGTATGTGTCCAACCCTTTAGTCAGTGCACTGCTGGATAAAAGCCTCCCTGTACCTTTGAGGGTCGTGGGATGTTATTGGAACGTGCTTCAACACACGCCCGGCATGCCTCATTCCAGTGTTCCTCTCTTCGTGGCTCTGGCTACTTCGTAACGCGCCGCCTATTCCGGCGTCGACCGGCGACCCAGAAACCATTCGGTGAAGAAAATGAATCCCCCATTTTCGCGTTGCTTCACGTGCGCGGAGGCGCGGAAACGTTTAACCCTTCACCCACTGCCATTCCTAACCGCAGCGGGAGAACGCAGCCCTAATTATAGAGCCGGGCGACGGGTGAGACGTGTGTGTGTGTGCGTAAGCGCGTGTTTTGCGTGCATGTGTGCCACTGAGGCATGCGCCCGTGGTGGCAAGGTCACAGAGGCTGCTGGCTGCTTGGCTCGCCCGGGTTGTTACGCCTTTGGCAGACGACGAGTTTTATTTGTTTGTGCGAGGGCCGTCTGTGCCCTTTACGACGGCTGGGAGGGTGGCCGGGCGGGGCAAGCAGGCTTGACGTCGCTGGTGCCGTTCTCTGGGTTTGCAATCGAGTTCGATTTGGGTTGCGAGTAATCTCGACGGGGATTCCATGACGCAGCGGAGGGGACGCGTGCTGGACGAGAGAGATTGTTGATCCACGAGAGCTCCTTACTTATTTGCTCGGGGATCACTGTTGTGAAATGTCCGTCCTGCAGAGTCATAGGTTGACGGACTCGAGTACTGTATTTTTTTACGTGTAGAGGTGAACTTTTGTCAAATTTTTTCTTGAGGTTATAGACGTGGAGTAGTGGCCACGGCTAACATCAGTGGCGAGTGATATGCCAAAGTCGCATGGTCTATCCACTGCTGGATGAAGGTCTCCCCAAATCCACTGCCTTTCCCCACGGTCCGGCGATGCAGCCATCTATGTGGCCACCGCACACGAGCCGATTTCTCTGCTCCATCTCCATGGCGGACGCTCCTCTTGGGAGCGTTTCCTCATTTGGCCGTGCGCTCCGTTATTAGTCCGGCCTCCATCCTTTCCAGCGACGTATCCCACCCCGAAGTCTACTCACTTTTCTTAAGCCAGTGTGATATCTCTCCATGTATGCATGCATGTTGAACATGTTTCACACCGTGCATAGCCAACCGTGCTACGTAGGTATGCCGAACTTCTTTCGCACCGTGCGTCACCAACCGTGCCAATCAGAGGTGCGATTAGCACGGTTGGCTACGCAACGCTCGTCCTCTGTGGTCCTCGCTTTGCCCCCTCTTCCATCGTTGTCGCCGGGTGTGATTCCACGCTTAAGATCTTTTCCCCGCCGTGAATTGAACGTCTCCTCGCCCTCACGTTTTGTTGGACAGAACTCGATGCGGGCGACGGTGGAGCACCACGACGCTCTGGGCACTGCGTACCCGACCATCAAAGTGATGGTCTCTCTCGGCAAGGAGGACCTCAGCATCAAGGTAACGGCGGCAACGCAATGCGTGACAGTTGCCACAACCGCGATTGCAACATGCAAGCGCCCGCAACTCTTATGGCCATGTTAACGGCTGCACCAACATCAACAGCCACCACCACAGCAACCACAGCAATAAAAACCATAGCAACGTGAACCACCACGACAACAAGTACCACGGCAACAACAGCAATAACAACCACAGCAACATCAATTGCAACAACAACCACGACAACAAACAACCATGACAGCAGCCACGATAACAACCCACCACGGCGACCAACACAACAGCAACAGCGGACCAACTGAGTCTGTCCCCGCATTCCCCTTCATCACTGGTGCACTGGTTATGAGGCCGAATCTGTTTAACACGTAGCATGGCTTTCGCGACCATCGTTATTCATTCATAATGTAGGTTTTTTTGGATTAGATCGCGTAAATATTAATGTGTCGTTAAACCCGCCACCACCCGACACAGCCAATTAAGTCAGGTTTGTCACGTAAACAGAACACGCCAATTCGTTACTAGTACAACACACCAGTGTGTGTTGTTATTTTGAATGTTATTCATAAGAAAGTCTTTTTGGGTTTGATCGCATAAATATAAATTGTAAAGTTTGTCACTTAAACAAAACCTGCAAATTAGTTCAGTAGTTGGAGAGCAAACCCATGACATCTAGACCAAGTCTGAATGGCGGCTGGGGGTCGATGCGCTGTTCCTCAAGAAGCCCCCCTCGACGTTTGCCCCGGCGCGCCAGGCGGGTCGGCTCTGGCAGGTCGAGGTTGCAACGGATCGAGGTCGTTGAGGGTCAGGCCATGACGTTGAGGCGTGCATTCTGTGCTGTGGCCGTGCGGGCGAGCAGGTGAGCGACCGGGGCGGCGGAGTCCCGCTGCGCAAGATCGAGCGTCTCTTCAACTACATGTACTCGACGGCGCCGCGGCCCCACATCGACACGGCGCGCGCCGCGCCCCTCGTGAGTACCGCCTCCCGCCACGCGATGTGCTCTGTCCTCTGCTGCTGTGGGCGGACACCCCAGCCCTGCCGTCGCGTCGCCCGCGAGCCGCCGGCGCCGGCGGTGCGATTGTCGTTCGCTACCCGGTGGAACTCGCTTGACCTCCGTCGCTCCATGTGTTTTCGTCGTCGTTAACCGTGGTCTGTCCCGCTGCCGGGTGAACGATTGCTTCCCCCGTGTCGCTACCGCCGCCGCCTGTTCGCGGCATCACGATAGTCGGCCATGATTAATCCACTGCTGGATGAAGGGCAGCCTAAGCCAAGGCCATCCCTCGTATGTATGCATGTTGAATTTATTTCCGCCATGTAACAATACATCTGGCTCCTGTGTACAAGCTCAGATCTCATTCCAGCTGTCCTTTGGCTGTCAATAGTCTCGACACAACGGATGTGATCGCTATCAGCGATGGTGGCGTGTCATGCCCGGGCCTGGTCAATGTGACCTTCCTCTCGAACGTTGCGTTTAACTTCTCAACGTTGTCAGCATCCGGGTTTCTCATCCGCTTGTCATGGAAAGGCAACGTGCACCTCCTGTTATTCCGGGCCGGGGATTACTCGCCGAGAGACCATTCTCGGAAAGTGTTCACCTTGGCAGTAGATAGATCACGCCTGTCAATGGTTACGCTTGGAGTATTTGGCCTGCTATGAATGTCCACGCGATAAGCCACTTCGTTAAGTTATCATTTTTGACAGGCAGGTCGCTTCTGAAAAAGAGCCGTATAGCTCAGTGGGCTTTGCCTGGTAAAATAAAAAATAGTTCGTAAACAAAAATGGCAATGATGGTGAACGAGCGGCACCGACACTCCGTTAAACACGCCAACGCTACCAGGGCAACGTTGGACCGCGATCAGAACCGATGTTTACCGAGTTAGCGTGGCGGGGGTAGGGAGGGAGGGGAGGTGGACAAGCGTTACCCCACCTCCCATTGCTGGCACTCGAGCTCAGTATTGGGGTTACTTACAAGGCCCTTATCAGCATTAAGCGGTAGAGGTTTTATCAGTTTCTTTTTTAAGCTAACATTTCAGCGGGCCAATTACAGAGTGGGTGGGGGGCGTTGTTCGTTGGCCTTGTTGTTGTCGTAGTCGAGTCACAGTCGGTGCCTGCTCAGCAAACGCCGATTCATCGGCGTAGGATTACTGCACACCTGTGGTGATGTGTGGGCCAAGGTTCAAGAGGTAAAGTTCTCCTGGCAGCTGTCGGCGTTTGCCTAGCACGGCACGTAAACAGGTTCTGGGGTAAACAGTATAAAAAAAGCCCAAATGTGGGCGGCGTATGTGCGTATGTATGTATGTATGCTAACATCTTTCGCACCGTACGGAGCCAACTGTGCTAATCGCAGGTGACGATGTCGCAGCCGATTTCACTGGTCAAGAACCGATCACGTGACATGTGACAGGCGCGCTGACTCTCCGCGACATTACAAGCAACAACGGACATCCCAACGAGATTATATTCCATTCGTTTTTCACAATTGGAGATCCGATTTGTGATTCGAGTAGAAAGAAGTTGTTGATTAATTTCTTTTACGCCTCGTTTTTACTGCATCAGTTTTTCTGGTTTTTTTTGCCCCCCTTGTATTGCCTTGTTCGTTCCATTAATATAATCGTGACGACCAATTGCAATTAACGTGAACTTGTAAACAGTCCGTTCATAACCCTTTGCGATTCGACGCACACGGGCTTGTGAGCGCAGGAATTCGATTTCAGTCGATGCACCATCAAACGGCCAGTGTCCAGCAGAGTGTGTGACCTCTGATTGTGGTGTGGCCAACGTGCGGTGCAGGCCGGCTTTGGCTACGGGCTGCCTATCTCGCGCCTCTACGCGCGATACTTCCAGGGTGACATTCAGCTCTACTCCATGGAGGGCTACGGCACGGACGCCGTAATATACCTCAAGGTTTGCGCCCCCCCCCCCCACCATCATAAATATCTTCATCATCGAAGCCGTGACCATCACCATTAGGGCCATCACCAGCATCATCACCATCATTACCATGATTGTCATTATTAGCACCACTGCCATCTTCAAAGCCACCACCATAATGTCCATTACCACCACCTCCCACCGCTACCATAACCACAACTGCTATCAATCGCCAGCAATGTCTCCACAACCATCACTACCACCATAACCATCATCCCCATCACCAGCCCCCCCGCCATCACTCCCACTACGGCTATCGCCACCACCGTCATCACCACCATCGTCGCCACTATCATCACTACCTACCATCATTATCCCCATGACCATCACGGCCGCCACCACCATCAACATCACCATTGTCGCCCCCCTCCCCCCACACCACCACCATGACCATTGTCCATAGCAAATCCCTGGTAGCTGTGTTGGCGCAGGTGGCAACGGTCGACAGTGTTGCAGGCTCACTCGCTCGCCCGTTCACCTCAGCTCACGGAGCTCCCACTTTGTTTGCGTGCACCTCTGGAGAGTTTAAAGTTCGCTCGGAGTCAATGATCCAATTAACTTGCGGTTAATATGACCCCAGACTTATTAACTCAATGGAGAATTCTGCTGTGCGTGCTTTAAAGAATAATTCCGCTGCTATTTATTGAAGAAGACGAAGAAGAGTGGTGCATTTGGGTGCGTGTGTGTGTGCATGTGCACGTGTGTGTGTGCGTGCGTGTGTGCGCGTACATGTGTGTGCATATGTGTGCATGTGTACGTACGCATGTGTGCACGTGTGCGTGTGTGAGAGCGTTGTTGAAACTTGGAATAGAGCAGAGGGAGCAACGCCAGGGTACAGCCCAGGCTGCAGTAACCACTGCTGTTTGGTTTTCACCAATTTGTACAAAGTTCCCATTCGCATCCTTCTTCCCACGTTCCTCTGTCAATCCAAATAATAGTTCCTAAGCGCTGTGTTACATTGCCTACTACGCCCTGACAAACGAGACTCAATGGGCTCTCACCTGCTTGCAGACGACACAAATGAACCTTTGCGGTCAAAGTGAGCCAATGGTGAGGCGGCAGTATGGGTTGGTACCAGAGGACTCAGCCAGAAATGCTGAGTTCTGACAAATAAAAATGTATTAGAAATTGACAGTTTGACGGCGTTGGAATAAGCATGTCTGTTATGGCAGGCAGCATGGGAAAGTACAATGCCCCAAATGTGGATAAGAGGCAATTGGAAACAATCTCGGCAGTAAATTTCGATTTAAAGCTTTCGTGACTGCAGGGATTCATCTTCTTGGTTATTTTGGTAAAGTCACGTAGAAGGGAAGTAATAAAATAATACATAATAAAACATAATAAAATAATTCTCACGACGTTTCGGCCACAACGCAAGCAGCCGTCCTCAGGTGAAGAACAGGTCTGTCGAGAAGACAGATTCTAAATGACAACCCCAGGCTTGGAGCGTCTTTTTTAAGCTGGGTTGGAGGGGGGGAGAGCAGCCTTGACAAAATAATTTGTATATCAAGAGGAATTTAGCATATATATAAGCTGGGTTGGAGGTGTAAGAAGAGCGCCTTGACAAAATAATTTACATATCAAGAGGAATTTTGCATATTTATGGGAAATGCGTAGGAGGTGGGCTGGGGGGTTTCAAAGTCATATTATGTCCATGCATTATGCAGGATTAGCAGCATCAAAGGGAGGGGGTAGGGGGTATGCAATTTATTTTGTCAAGGCGCTCTCCCCCCCTCCAACCCAGCTTAAAAAAGACGCTCCAAGCCTGGGGTTGTCATTCAGACTCTGTCTTCTCGACAGACCTGTTCTTCACCTGAGGACGGCTGCTTGCGTTGTGGCCGAAACGTCGTGAGAATTATTTTATCATGTTTTATTTTTTATTATTTTATTACTTCCCTTCTACTTGACTTTACCGAAAGAACCAAGGAGATGAATCTCGGCAGAAGTTCTGCGTTGTCATCTTTCGCAGGCCTTTCTCTAACACTGCGATCCGCCACCCTGCGAGGGGTTCTGAATGGACTCGAAACTCCTCCCATGACGCCGATGGAACAGTTAGAATAAAATCGGGGGATAAAAAAAAATCAGTTCATTATTTTACATTTTTACAGAAAAGTATCAGTAATAAGAATCGATTACTCTGCCCCGTTCCACAGGCCCTGTCGAGCGAGTCGGTGGAGCGACTGCCGGTCTTCAACAAATCCGTGTTCAAGCACTACCAGGTGAACCAGGAGGCGGACGACTGGTGCGTGCCTAGCAGCGAGCCCCGCAACCTCGCCACGTACCGCTCGTAATCGCGAGCCGCGAGCCGATCGTGACCCACCCGCCGATCGTGAGCCGCCCACACGCTGCCCTGCTGCTCCTCTCTGCCACGCGCCGACGACGACCCCCTGCCTGACCCCATCCACAGTTCTCAATCCAGGATTGCAAACCTGCCGATTTTCTAAGCGCGTTGGGCTCTGAGAGGGAGTCCGGTTCTGTTTTTGTTTTCAACACACTGCAGTGAAGCAAAGCCGTACCCATTGGTTCGCTTCGGTAGCCCCGATGAGAGTGGTGCCATCGGTGGAGGACCTCGCCCGCAGGCCTTAAAATGCCCAGTGCCGTGCCTATTCCGCCCAGAAATGTTTGGTCGCTTTTTACTTGAAATTGTCACTGAGTGATGCTCTACTTACAGATTTCCACTCCGTGTGGAATCCAGTCGGGACGCGATTCAATTCAGGGGGTTTAAAATCCAGAGACTCTTTTCCTTTTTCAAAAAAGGCAGCTGTGTTTTGCGAACCTAGGGAAGCCGAGTTCCGTCATCGGTCATGGCCAACATCAGTGGTGAGCGACGCCTTAACCGGTCCTGGAGCTCCTGCCCCCTGCCTGCTCACCATCACCAGCGCAGTGAAGTGCGATCAAAACGAGCGCAAGGAAGGACGCGGCGCCAAAGGGGAGCAAGCTGTCATACGGCGATGTGGCGCTCCAGGGTGAAGTCGACGAAGCGTGCCGCTTTAAGGATTCGTAATAATCAGGCATTTACTTGTGTAGTTTTCATCGCGTTTTTTTTTCAGGATTACGCGTCGCGCGGCGCTGCGCTCGAGTTATGAAACTAGTTTTATTCAGTGTGAGCAAATTGGAACTCAAAAGGAGTTCCGTGGAATTGTGCCAGTAAATATATATTCCTGTACAATGTGACTCTCAATGGGAGTGCAACCTAGACTCACCAGACAAAGGGACTAGGAGCTCCGTTGTTAATTTGACATTTCTAGCTTGATGCTGTCGTCCGCTCTGAGGCAGTCAGATAACGACGCCTGTGCTCTGAAAATGGTAAAGCTGCTGCCTGGCTCGGCACAATCGCACCCACGCTAATTGAAGCGATACGTACAGGCTTACCGGTACGTATCGAGTTCTCAGTGGAGAGATGACAAACCTACGGCCCGTGGGCTGGATGCAACCCGCTATTTCCTATCGTACTGCCCGTGGCTAAAAGCATCTTAGCCGCACTGATCAGGTACTTGCTAATGTTAGTGCACTGCGCTACAAATCCGGTGACTCCAGTTCAATTCTCGCTCACGGCCAACACCAGTGACGATTATATAAACCAGTCTTGGACCTCCACCAGGTCGACTTAGCCTCGAAGGAGTCCCTGGTGCAGTATGCAAACAATCGCCACTCGGGAGACGAAGGCGGCCGGGCGTGGTGCTGGCCACCCACCTCCTTCGTGTGCCATGCGCAACTTCGTAGGTGCTCGCTCACAGGACTTGCCCCAAAAGTCTGTTGTTTGTATTTTGTTAACATGCGGCCGCAAAATATATATATATTTTAAAAGGCTTCCTGGCCCTGCTCTTGCAGCTCCTGCTTGAGTGTGATGTTGCCGGGTCGCCAGCCCAATGAATGAATGCCCTCATGCTGAGAGGGCTGCGCAAGGTGCAATGTCAAGCCACGCTCGGGTTACCAAGAGACGCCGCAGAGTTAGTGACTGAACCCAGGAGGCATGTGCATCTCTCGAGACACGGTCAATGTCTCCTGTGAACTTGTAAACTGGACTGTTAAAGGTGTTTTTTATTTCAGTGGTACATTTCTGCTCGAAGTTGTCCTTCCACGTTTGGGCCGTGTCACCGTTTCTCGTCAATGACATGACTACGATTATCTATCTCTAAACCGCTTAGGGAAGTGAGGGTGCCACTGTTTATATCGAGGAGCAATAAGGTATTTTTGAATCTTCACTTGCTTTGGATTTTTTTTGGGACAAGCTCGGTTGCTGCCCGTGTCACCGTCATCAGTTGCTAAGCGAGGCCACGAAGAAGTTTGGAGATCGGGACACCACCTGGGCTTCCCAGTTTCTTTCGACAAACTTCACACTACAGCCGCATACGAAAAATGCTTTGAAACTACATTCGAGCAATTGTTGTACGGTAGTCGTCGCAGGCAATTAGTTTGCTGCACATTTTCTTTTTTTTCTGCTCGGTTACTCCATGGCAAGGTTGGTGGCGGGCCACCCAATTAAATGAGGCACGTGCCACTGACGTCATAGTGTTACTCGTACAGAAAATGACGTCATAGTGTCACCCGTACAGACAATGACGTCACAGCACCACGGGTACAGACATTGACGTAAACAGCTGGAGGGGAGTTGCTAGTTGAAGAGCCACACTCGATTCCAGTTCCATACAAGTTGCCAAAGGCGGCTGTAGTAAATCCATTGTGAGTTAAAATTGCCGATGATAAAATTGTCACCCCTGATGTATCTGGACGTAACGGCCCGTCGCATTTGGTTGATATTTGAAATCCACGTGGCCTTCATCCAAAAGTGTGTCCTTTCTCTGTGAGAAATAGCGGACGCCCCTTCGAATGGTTTCACTTGAGTTTGGATTTTAAGTTTGAATTTTATTTGCCGTGATGTAGAGAAGCCACATATGATGGGCAGTGGAGCGAGCGGGGCGAGTGGTCTTAGCCTCGGGTAGTCGTCCGTCGATGCCCTTTGACCCTAGAATGTCGGAACAGCAGCAGGAAAGGGGCGATCCACCGGGGAAAAAATAAGCTGCTACATCCGTTTGAAAGATGAGGATGTGCAGGATTCCGGATCAATGATTGGTTTTCATTGTTTGTGAAAATTTCTCGAACGTTTTCTAAGACTTCAGTGGTGGCAGTAAGTTGAGAAATGGTTTTTAATTCAAAGAGGTTTTTATGTAAACATTTCATGTGCTTACATTATGCACAGGAATGTGCACTCGAATATTTTTACAGCAACCGGGTAAAAAAAACAATAGTTGTTTTGTTTAAAAAATAAATGCAATTAAATAAAAATCTATTGTAATTTGTAAATAATAAAAATGTAATTCTAGAGTGTGAAAATATATATGCACGCTTCAGCGGGTGCGCTGGAACACGTTTAATTCAGTACATATGTATTCAAACCGTGATGATATCGCAACAACCAATGGCTTGTTGTTTGCTCGGGGTATAAGGATACCGGAGCCATAAGCTAAAGCATCGAATCGTGCATGTAGCAATCGGCATGTGCTTCCGATGCTGTGCGTAATGTGCTCACCCCCTTCCAGCCACCAGATGCTGCTCCATTCACGAAAATGTATTTAAAAACATCGTCAAAATCCATATTTAATTTGACCGAGTCGCGCCAATTCACCGCATCACGAGGAAGGGTTGGTGGGTGAGTTAGTTGCGGGGGGGGGTGATCCGTTACATTTCTGTTGACCTTTGGGACTTCATGCCAGTATGTTGTGATTGTTGGACTGCCGTGCTCTGACCTCTCTGTACATATGATTACGTGTGCTTGGAGTTTTAAACTGCGTCGCTATTCATAGGGCATGCGTAACGTTCAATACGAATACAATCCTGTTATTCATGTGTATGTGTTTGAAAACTCTCATAGCTCACCACGTGACTTGTGACATTAACGTATTGTCCATCAATAATAAAAGCATTGTTTTTGCACCCACTTGACATTATTTTCACATTTACACAGTGCATGGATGGGCGTCGTGAGTGTTGAGCAATGACCTAGGTACGTTGAACTTATTTCATACCGTACATGGACAACCGTGCCAATCAAAGGTGCGGGGTAAAGAACAAACTAAACACAAAAAGCAGTTCGAAATAAAAAATGTCAATCTAGACTTTAAAGTGCAAGGCTTTAGTGGCTTCCTAATATTGGAAGGAACAGCGTTCCAGACGGCCGCAGAAGCGCATCTGAAAGCGCACGATGTGGTGACCATCTTTGTTCGATGGCTAGCCAAAAGGCGATGCTGCGAGGATGATGACCGGAGTTTGCGTGATCCGCCCATACGTGGACTGTGACACTGCATCGGGGTCGTGCGAGGAAGATAGATGTGGGTAAATATTAGTCCGTGGGCCCAGATTTCATTCCATGCCCCAGGGCCCATGCCCAACCATACACTACACCACTGGGGCTCCGTGTGTTCAGTAATAGACACTTCGTGTGCCTGTGTTTGAGGCTGGAATTGGGGGAGGGGGACTGGAGCAGAGTCCGACCTTGCGTTGGCCGTCCAATGCTGAGGTCGCCGCCTTCGTGTTTGCCTGGGCGATCACCCGTGGTCACCCGAGCAGTGAAAAACAACACTGAAAAGTGTCGCACTGTGGAAAGGGGGCCTGGCGATACGCCGGAGTTGGATTCGTGGGTTAGAGACACGGTCATTGTGAGGGCTAAACACGAGTGTCTGATTGCCTGGTCAACTAGGGTCAGTCAGGTGGCTAGTTCCAGAGACTGGTGGGTTAGGGCCAGTGCAAGAGTTGGAGCGCGTGACCGGTTGCCTAGTTGGTTAGGGTTATAGCATTGGGGCTCGAATTTAGACGGCTAAAAAGCTCCTAAATTGCCTGCCCCACTTGCCATTGCAACTCAGCGCCTTGGAAAAAAATTAAGCCAAGCTAACATTTCATTTACGGTGCTCACATCGACTTGGCACGGCGGCGTAGCTATCGAGCGCGCAGGCGGTGCAACCGCACCGGACCCACGGATTGGAGGGGCCCAGGCGTCGGGTTACGAAGAGGAGGTACATTGGACGTGGGTGGTAGAGTGGGTTACTATTGCATTCCTTGCACCAGGACCCACGGCCAAGCACGCTACGCCACTGACTCAGCGCTTTTATCCGCAATAATGCCCAGGCCATTATTTAATTCCGACCGCGTGCTCGCCCTCAGCAGGGGGGTCTCGTTGATTGTGCAACTGGGTCCGTGGCAAAATGACAGAACTGCTTTGTGTCTACACGCGCTGTGTGTGCAGAGCAACGTGACGAGATGGGAGCGCCACTTGGCAGGGGCGTAGAAGCGTGATTTGCATGGGCCCTGCTGCAAAGGATCAAATGTCAAAATCAGAATCTTTATTTCGACTGCAGGAGGAGGAATTCAATGAGCTATGACGCTCTTTTTTCCCCCACAGATGTATAGTGTGGGCACGGGGGTCAGCAAGTTACGACAGCAAACAATAATAACATAAACGATAGCAGTGCAAAATAGATAACATGGTGAAGCAAGTCACTAAATACAAATGTCCTCTACGCCCACTCTCCTCGGAGTAAGCCGGTGCCTGGGCCCCGGTTCAGCTGCACTGCCTGCAACCTCGATGGCTATGCCCACTGTCAGTAACCTCAGCTGCCCCAGATGCCTCTGAGCGACTCTCATTCACGAACGCGTTGCGTAACTAGGCGAGCCGGAGCACGTGGGTGACCTGGTATTGCGCGAGTTACCAATCGATCATTCGATTCACAGACTCGTCGTTTACGAATTTCACCCCATCGTTTTTCGCGTTGCCTCTCGCATTAATTTGATTTTGAATTTTAGCCAAAAACAGATGCAATGTCTCCAAAGACAAAGATCCCCCGTACAGCCTTTAACAGATTGTGTCTCTTGGTAGATGGAAGGGGGATGGAGGTGGGCGGGGGGATATAGGGGGCGTGGGTCCATCAGTCAAGTTTATTTTGTGTGCGTGTCACAGGTGCATCTTTGACTTTATCTTTGAGTTATATTTGAGTTAATGTGTACTGGGAATTGGGGGAGTGCGGTAAGGGAGGTGAGTGAGGTGTATACAATGTGGGAGAAGGCGGGATGGGGGAGGGGGGCGGTCATCCCAGGCCACAGCGCCAGCTGATGTCGTTAAAATGTGCCACGAAAACAACAAGTGGCCACGAATCGGAACAAGCGTGGTAGGCCGTGGGTGAGTCACTGCACGTGGAACCGAGCGAGGGTTGGTGCCTATAGGCACAGGTCAGCGTCCCACAATGATGGCAGCAACGCACACGAACAAGATGGCTGTGCTAAGATTACGTTCATTAACAGCCTTGATATGTGATGGCTTCCCACATGCTGTACTCACCACCAAACAAGCTGTCCGGAAAGAACTCACCATTACCTTGCGACAATTTAGGCAGATGTAGAGATCTAATAGCAAACGTAATTAATTGGGTAATGATGGGCTGGGGTTGGAGCGTAGTCTGCATCCGCATACACAGTGAGCAAGAGGTGTACAGGTCGCCACGGTGGCGGGATGTTACCTACCTCGCCTGGTATACAGGGGGTCGTGGGTTCGATCCTGACCCTGACGCCTGTTGTATATTTGGAGTTTCCATGTCTCTCTCCCCGTGGTCGCGTGCATTTACTCCGATTTTTCCGTCCACATTTAGAAACACGCGTTCATAGTATTTGGCTGCCATACATTTCCACAATGTAAGCCACCTTCGTTGAGCTATCATTCGTGTCCAGGTCGCTTCGATAGGTCAGTGGGCCTTACCTGGTAAAATAATTGAAAGCAATAATTTGATAGGTGGATAGGCTAATTGGGAATTCACCGAGGGTACTGGAACTGGATTGGGGACAAGGACAGAGCACGGGGTCTTCGGATGCCGGGGCTGGAGCTGTCGTGGCTGTTTATTATGGTGGCTGAAACACATTCCTGCGGAGGGAGCTGGTAGGAACGTTTGGTTGCTCGGTCAATGGCCAGGGTCAACGGCGGCGTGGTGTATTCCGCAAATATGGCCGACTGTGAGGGTGGGCACAAGCCGGCATGAGTAGGTTAAACGTTGAGTTTTATAAGGGCACCACGGGGTGACCAGCCCCTCCCCACCCAGCCCCACCCCTCCCACCCCCCACCCAGCCCCACCCTCCCCACCCAGCCCCTCCCCACCCTCCCCTCCCCACCGGCCCCTCCCCACTCTCCCCTCCTCACCCAGCCGCTCCCTTCACGATGGACGGACGGACACAATAATCCCCTGTGGGCTGGTGTAACCAGGATGTTCCTACCAGTATTAAAGAATAGAGTCTGGAATCTAGACTTGGTGAAGTCCTTTCACAAGCAACAGATCTAACGGGGCACCGTACACTGCCGCTGAAGTGAAGGCGCCCTCAGGGCCATAACGTTCAACAAGGCACTGGGATTTGATGGCAATGTCAGTTCCTAAGGAACCTGTCCCTATAATTATTTACGTTTATAAGGCGCAATTCACACTGGGATCTCAGTGCGCCATGCTACTACAAAGTCCTGAGTCCACTGGTCATACATGGGAAGTGTAGGCCAGCGAAATAGGTGAGTATTTAGAGAAGACCGAAACAGGGCGAGTAAGCTCACATGTCGAACCACTGGTGGGAAGGCATTCCGTCGTCTTGGCACAGCAACATGCAAAGCCTCGGTCACCCCAGGTGCAGTGCCTAGTTCTCGGCACATGGAGCAGATGTAAAATATATCGACACAAAATACGGCTCCCAAACATCTTCAATCCCACACACAGGACAGGCAAATAATAAATACACAATCAATGGGACACGTTGCATGGATGGACCCTTTGTGGCTAACGGGGGAAGCATGTGCTATATCACTGGTAGCAGCAGAACCCCTAGAGAGAACACGAGGAACTGATGGGACCCATTGTGGCACGAGCAAACAGCGTACGCCCAATCTCGCGAGTATATATCGCGAGCATGAGAATCAACCAGTGGCGGCTCCTGCAAAATCTCTCAGGGGGGGCAAATGTCTGGATGATTGATAAGGATAAGGTCCACCCATGCAATGGATAAATTAACAGCTTAAGCATGTAAAGGCAACTTCACTTCTTTAATATTAATGAAAAATAAAGTGACTCTTACAATACATCTTGTTTGTTTCTATACTCACTATTAAAACAAACCACTCAAGTTTATTTTATTAAAGATTCCAGTAGATTTTGATTTAAAACTTTCGTGACTGCAGGGATTCATCTTCTTGGTTCTTTCGGTAAAGTCACGTAGAAGGGAAGTAATAAAATAATACAAATAAAACATAATAAAATTATTCTCACGACGTTTCGGCCACAACGCAAGCAGCCGTCCTCAGGTGAAAACCAGGTCCGTCGAGGCGACAGAGTCTGAATGAAACAGCACACGAGCTTGGAGCATATATATAAGCTGGGCGCCTTGACAAAGGAATTTGCATCTCAAGATGAATTTAGCATATTTATGGGAAATGCAGGAATGTGATTAGTACTGCATATGCATGTGCATTATGCAGGATTAACAGCATCAAAGGGAGCTGCAGTTGCTGCTGCTGCAGTTGCTGCTGCTGCTGCAGTTGCTGCTGCTGCTGCTGCAGTTGCTGCTGCTGCTGCAGTTGCTGCCTTATCCATTTTAATATAACACTATGTATTATTCTACCCACCCTAATGTGTATCACACTGCTATATATTTACTATACAATTACGACACCATACATTACTCTGCACACTGCACCATGCCAGTGAGTGGAACGTTGTGGCCGAAACGTCGTTAGAATAACTTGCGTTGTGGCCGAAACGTCGTGAGAATAAATTTATTATGTTTTATTTTTATTATTTTATTACTTCCCTTCTACGTGACTTTACCGAAAGAACCAAGAAGAAGATTCCACTAGGTGGCGATAAATTATATTGTTGGATGAAACGTGCTTACGTATGATGACGTTAGCACGTATGATGATGTAAGCA